AACGAGGAACTTGTGGGAATAAACAGAAAAAACCTCGGTTCTTAATTTCTACCGTAGTACTAGTAAACTTGCTTTGGGTATCCAATGATCACCTCACTCTGGCATTCGGAAAAGTCTTGGGAAGATTGAGCTCCGAATTTTTGCTCATGTCATCAAAATAAATTCCCAGATTCTAAGCAAGGATTTGACAACTTAGGTACTCACCAACGATGAAACAAAACGTTTCTTTTAAATCTTTATTTTATGATTTTTTGGGAAAGGCATCGTTTGCATTGAATGCTCTTCATGTCTGAACTGAAAGCACCCTCCTGTTTTTTTGAATTGCAGTGACACGACTGCCCGCCAAACCCGCCACGTGGCACCACCGCGCGCCACGTCGAACTCCATGACGACGTGGGAGCCCTGCCCTAAAATCTCGAATTAAAGCTTTCTCTCTCTCTCGTCTCGTTCTTTCTCCTACTGGTCAATTCGAGCGAGCGAGCGAGCGAGATTGAGAGAGGGCGATGGAGGAGTGAAGGAGAGATTTTTGCCCTCTCACAGGAAGAAATTTCTTTTTGTTTGTTTCCAGATTTGCAGGGGAGGGCAATGAATGTTCTACAACAAACCCACCTACTGTGGCCAGAGATTCCAGCCAGCAGCTGGGTTGAATGCATCACTGGATTGGATGGATCGCAATGCCGCAACCAGAATTCCCAGGAGGAGCGCGTGCTAGATCGATCCGATCGACATTGGTAGGCTGGGATAGATCTACGCTAGCTTGATTGGTTTCTCCCCACTGGGTAGGATGGAAAAGGGGGGAATTCGCTCCAGAAGATCGAAATGCCGGTGAGAAGCTGTGATCTTCACAGGAATCGCGCTGTTGGGTAGTCTCCTCTCTCGATTCGCCCATCTGGGTCGATTCATGCGTCGCCAGTCATGCCGCTCTCCTTCAGCATCCGGGACCTCGATCCAGAGACGAGCAGCCCTTCCGGCGCGGGTGCCGCGGGCGGTACCGCCGGCGCCGCCAGCGGCACGCCGCAGCTCAGCCCCAGTGTCGTCGTCATCATCGTTCTCATCACGGTGGTGTTCTTCCTCTCGGGATTCCTCCATCTTCTCGCGCGCTGCTTCGCTCGCCCATCGGCATCCACCAACAATGGCCTCTCGCGGCGCAACAACAGCAGTGGGTCGCTCAACTCGCTCCAGGGCCAGCTCCAGCACCTCTTCCACCTCCACGACTCGGGCGTAGAGCAGGCATTCATCGACGCGCTGCCCGTCTTCCTGTACCGCGCGGTACGCGGCCTCAAGGAGGGGGCGGACTGCGCGGTATGCCTCAACGAGTTCTCCGGCGACGATCGTTTGCGCCTCCTCCCTAAGTGCAGCCACGCCTTCCACATCGAATGCATCGACACTTGGCTGCTGTCCCACTCCACTTGCCCGCTGTGCCGCTGCAGCCTCGTGCCCGACGCCTCCAGCTCGGGCTGTACCGCGGCGGTGCCGGGCGGTATGAGGGTCGAGTCCTTCGGCGCCAGTAGCAGCGTCAGCGCCGCCAGCTTTGGGGCCGAGTCCTCCATCGCCGAGGAGGGAGGCGTGGGAGGATCGCTAGATCTCGCGGGCGGCCGCCAGGAATCGCTGCGAGTGCTGCCAGTCAAGCTCGGGCGCTTCTGCCCAGCGGCAGCAAACTCGGGAGAAGAATCGACAGCGCCCTCCGAGACCGCGGCCTTGAGCCGGCGATCCTACTCCATGGGATCCTACGAATACGTCCTGGATCCATCCACTGGCGGTGCGGGAGGAGGAGAGCAGCAGCAAGTAGCACTGGTGGTGATCGCGCCAACGCCCATGCACAGAAAGTGGCCGCCGCCGCGCGGTACGCCCGGGCACCGCGCGGCACTGTCCGAGTGTATACCTGAGCGCGAGGGCGGCAGTCCGTGGGTCACCATCGACATTGATCCGCGACCAATGCTAGCCGCCGGCGGTACGTCGCGGGCGTCATCGTTCCTGAGCTGGGCACCGTGGAGGAGGAACTCCAAGGCGCCCAGCAGCGTGGGCGAGAAGAGCTTCGATTCGGACAAGGTGAAATCCTTCTCGTTCCGGCTGAATGTGGATCAAGGGCAGCAGCAGCACGAGGAGCCGCAGCAGCCGGCGGTGTGGTGGTGGAAGAACAGGGGAAGCTCGCACGAGCAGCAGGGCAGTACCGCCGGCGGCACCGGTGGTACCGCGGCGGTATGCAGTTGGGACCAGGCGTCGGTGTGTAGTACGAACGCGGAGATGAAGAGTACGGGCTCTGCGACATCATCAATGACCACCGTGTCGATTGCGAGGAGAACGCTGCAATGGTTAATGGGTAGAGACAAACACCATCACCGATCCTCGGCAGAGGAGATCACTGGTCACTGATGGAACGAATCGATCTGGGTTTTCTCCTCGCATTCTCTGATTGATTGATTGATCGATTGATTGAGCGATCGAGCTCTAGGAGTGAGATTTTAGTTCTCCTGTTCGTTCCTAAGAGAAGCTATGATTGGATCGATCGTTCTCTTCTTTTTTTCTCTTTCTTCACTGGAGGACGAAACTAGTCTTTTTCTCGTACGGGGATTTCGGAAGTGTTTGTTTGTTTTACTTTGGCTGGGGAGATCTTTGTCTCCAGAAGGAATGGAATGGAATTTCCCTTTTCTGGAAGCTTGCTGTGACTACTTTGCTCGACGCAGCCATCACTGACAATGCCGTGGAAAACGAAAACAAGAGAAAAATGGATTGTTTTGAGTTTTTTCGGTGATTGGGATTGAGAGAAGCGGTGGTTTTGTTTGCAGTGAGGCGAGAATTCAGTGTCTCGAGTCAGGTAAAAAGCTGACGAACACATTTTTTACTGTAAAAATGAGTTTTTTTTATATACAAGTTCGCTTTTTTTTTTCTTTTCTCGAACATTGGCATGGTCGCAACAGATGATTCACAGTGCTTCTTCAATAAGTTCACAAAGAGTTATAGTATGCCTTCACTTGATCACTCTTTGAGTTTAAAAGACTATCATCTATACCACTAGATTCCTGTGCTACTAAGCGTGTAAGTGTAGTTTTCCTAAATCTCTTGTTAACCATAATAATAAAGAATACATGGCTACTACTGGGAGAGTGGCACTCAAGTCACACCTTGAGATTCAATCTAGGTGCCATATAAATACCCTGAAGCTCTCTAGCGCCCCAAGGACACTTTGGCACATATCCCTCTTAACCTTGTGTAATCTGATCATGATCTGTCTACATAGGTTAATGAATATATTTAATGTCCACTCATATAGATTATGGGTATTATATGATGAGCATGTCATGGGCAATAGATGGGCATATTCATTTTCCGAGTGAAAACTAAACTTAGATTATGCAATAGGGATAGCTCAACTCATTTTGGAAAGACTGCATGTGGAATGGCTATAATTTGAATCTCCCACACTGTGCATACAAGTTGATTTCCTTCCAAAGATATCAATCTAAGAAAGAGTATCTACTTCTTATGGGAATATTTAGTTTAGTGTATATTGTGAGGAATGGAGTTATGATACTCAACAGTTATGACTCTAATAATTTGTATGTGTCAAAATGCTTGTCTCACCCCTTTATTGACTTTAATATCTATTTTGCTGCTAGGTTCTCCATCCAAGTTAATAGCAGATCACATTCTTTCAATTAATTATTTTCACATTAGCTTTGCTGATATTTGGTTCTACATTTAGTTCAAATATATCTAGTTCTAAGATTATGTGACTTTCTTCAGCTATGCATATATGATAAAAAGAAATAACTTCTTTATGATATTATGTAATGCATAGACATGCTTGCATAATAGAACTCAAATATATTCTATATCAACTAAAACATAGAAAAACTTAATGTTTACTATGCTATGATCCATACACTATGACTACAGTTTTAGATCTATTCATTACAAACACATTTAACACACATACCTAAAAAGCACAAGTGCTATTTTACTAAGAAAGAAACCTTAAACCTCACTTTAGCAAAACTTCTAATCTCTTTGCCACCCTTGAGTTGCTCTACTTATTATGTTATCATCTTAGTTAAGAAATTTTATCTACTCTTGGCAGAGGTTTATAATTTTATAATGATTATCTTCTCTTAGTTCTTATCAAATCAAATATTTATAAACAAAATAAACATAAAATATTTTTCTATTTATTATATTTCCAAATATTCTTATTTAATACAAATTCTAGTTTAGGGAAACTTTGCCTTTCATAACTTGACAACTTATATAACTTTAACACTAGATTGAGGATTTGCAAACCATTTTCCAGCTATATCATTTTTACAGCATCCAACTCAATTCTGCAAAGTGCAAGTTTTTTCTTCCTCAAGGGAAGTTGCTTGCATCAAGTCTCTAGACCCAACCTCCAAGTTTTCAGTTACACAGTTAAGTAATTATTATAAATTACATAAACTTATATATAGTATATATAGTGATGAATTCCTTTGTATGCCAAAACTTAGTTAGAGATCACATCCTAGAGGCTAGTTCTTTGAATTATCTCAATAAAAGAGACAGCATATGGACATGGAGCTATAATAGTGATTTTGTAGTCAACCATGGGTGAGGAGTGGCTAAAAAACTAAAGATACACTACCTAAATAAACCAAAAAACACCCAACATTAATTTACCTATGCACTAGTGTGCCATGGGGCTTGCTCACACTGCTGAGGAAAAATTGAAAACCCTAGTATAAGGAATGATCAAAATGGGGATGGGTTGAAGTATGAATGGCATGAGTGGATGTGATCATAGATTAGAAAGAATATTCTATTGGGGCATCTACACAAGCTAATATTCACGTTTACAAATTTTGTTGTCCATTATTCTAATTAAAGCATTTTATGTTTTTTGGAAAACAGTAATCATCTTCATTTCTATGTGAAAAACAGTGCATGCAATTTTACTAATCGTGCCTTATCACAATCCAAACTACCCTGATTAAAACCCTAAAATATTTCATAATTTAATAACACAAAAGTTAAAGTAAAGGGAAAGGTAAACTTGCTTTAAGTTACAGTAAACGGTGACTAGTGTATAAGTCAACTTGCACGGTCTTGAAACCTTCAGCTAAGATCACTGGCTGCGTGCTTCGCTATGAAGGAAAGGGACGTGGTTGATCCTCGGATTGCTGCTGGAGCCGAAGTTTCCAGACTGCATCCTGTCGCTGCTGCGAGCATGGTGCTAGCACTGTTCTTGTCCAAGGCTTGTTCTTTGCGTCAATTAGAAAAAGTCTTTACACATTCCTCTCCTAGTCGATCGAGTGCTTTAAGCCCATCAACAGCGAGTGAGCTTCCGAGTAGCGAGTTTCGTTGTCCTTGAGCCAGAAGAAAGCGCTGTTCCTGGGAACTTCTGGAATCTCACAGGAGCCTTGGAGCATCTGGACAACGTCCCCCATGGACGGCCTGGATCTTGGATCTTCCTGTAAGCACTGGAAAGCAATACTTACACCCTGACGAACTTTAGACTCGCTCGTGTCCTTGACGATCCTCGTGTCCACAAGTTGCATTTGCCTGCCTTGCCTTGTGAGATCCAATGCATGGGCCGGAAGATAAAACTTGTCGCTGTTGGAGCTTCTTTTCCCGCTGATAATCTCCAAGAGTAGAATTCCAAAGCTGTAAACGTCGCACTTCTCGGTAATGGAGGTGTCGAGAAGCCACTCTGGTGGGTGATAGCTCTCCAGACCTGTTTTAGCTGCTGAGCTCTGGGATTCTCGAGCCATGATCCTGGAGACTCCGTAGCCGGAAAGCTTGGGAACGAACGAAGAGTCGAGTAACACGTTTTGAGGCTTCAAGTTGAGATGAACTTCCATGCATTCTTCGTGCAAGTAAGCCAATCCTCGTGCTATTCCCATCACGATTCCCATCCTCAGTTCCCAGTCCAAGACGTTTTCCCCGTTGTCACGATAGATCCATCTGTCCAGCGAACCATTTCCAATATGCTCGTAGATGATAAACCCGTGACATCCTTGGTCGCAAAAACCGAGCAGCCTCACCAAGTTCCAGTGATGAAACGTTCCTAGCACCGCAACTTCAGCAAAGATCTTCCGCTTCCCCTGTCCTGTGCTTTCGAGCCTCTTGACTGCCACTTTCCTGCCCTCGGGAAGAACACCTTCGTACACACTTCCAAAGCTTCCAGTTCCGATAAGCTTGCTGAAGTTGTCAGTGATCCGTTCTAAGTCCGCTCGACAGAACCTCATTGGTTTCAAGTTCTCTATCGTCTCGAGATAGTTGTCGCTGTCGTAGACTACAGCCTCCACTTGCTTGGACCGCTTTCTCGATATGCACAAAATGATGGGCAGGAGGGCCACCAGAAGTAGAAAGAAGCTGCCAACTACGATCCCCGCAGTGGCACCAGCTGAAAGCTTCGATCCTGTGGCTGGAACAGGCAAGACATCGTTCGTGGTGTTCGTGGCCGCTACTTTCACGTATGCAACGTGGCGATGGTTGGGCACGGCTTGAAGCGTACGAAGGCTATCCATCAGAAAGCAGGAGCTGGATTCTTCCCAGAAGAAAAACGCCGAGCACGAGCAGTTTTGCAGGCACTGGCTGCGGCAAAGCTGAAAGCTGAGTGAAGAACCATTGAGGTACCTGTGTGAGAAATGCTCGATCCCCGGCAGTGAAACAAAATCGAGAGAGCTGGAGTTACCGCATGAATCAATGACAGGAGCTGAGCAGCTGTTGCTCCAAGGAACTCTCGTCCCAGTTGCGCTCAAGCACTCGACGCATGACCCGTTGGAGCAGATTCCAAATGGTTGACATCTCTCGGGAAGCCCACAGCTACCAGCCTGCTCAAAGAGTTTCTGCGACTCGGTCCAGTTTCCAGAACTTCCCAGCGTGTAAGCTTGCAAATTCCCATCAGCTTCCAGACGTATGAAACTTCCGTTTTCGCCAGCCACCTGGAGAGGTATGATCAGCGTTTCGTTGCTCCCACACCGAAACGTGAAAGTTAGAGCTGACGAGCTCTCGTTTCTGGCAAGAGCTGCTGTCAAGGACTCGCAGGCGTTCGTAGTAGCCGCTGCTAGAGTTTCAAGTCCATCGTACCCCCTGATCCAGTAAGGTTCCTGCCGTCCCGAAAAGTTGGAGTAGAGCACAAGTCCCCCGGCTTCCATCACCAAGCTGTAAGTTCCCGAAGAAGAATTCGTGCTGCTTCGGCGGCTCTCCAGTCTCATTCCCGGCGAAAGAGGCTGTTGGAGCACGAGTGTGTCGGTCGGACTGCCAAAACTCTGCCACAAGACTTCGTTGTCGACGTTTCGAACCGTCAAGTTCCCTGTCTCTTGCAACTCGAGCGTCGTAGAAAGTCCATTCAGCGGTCCAGTAGTCCATACCAATCTTCCGCCAGAGTCTCGCAACGCAAGGCCGCCATCGCCCTCGAAGCCAAGCGTTGCATTCGCACTCACTGGATCGTCTTGGTTCGCTTCCCAGATGATTCTAGCCAAGGAACCAGCGCTTGAGTTTGTCACAATGGCGAGAGTGAAGAGCCCCGACGAGTGATTCACAAACGCCAGGCTATACTGCGCTATGTTGAGCAGTGAAAGATTGGGTGCCGTGTAGCCATCAAATTCCACTGCCCGGCCGTCAAGACCCCTTGGATCGCCGGGAATCACCCGGGGAAACTGGTTTTGCTCCAGCACCTGCTGCTGGCACGACGCGCGCGTGCATAGAATCGCTAGAAATATCGCTGCTAGACTACAAGTACCTCTCTGGGGAGCTGGATCGGCCATGGCGTTGATCGATCGTCGAGCGGTAGCACGGAAGAATGGAAAACTTCTTCCTCTGGGCATTGTAGAACCCTAGCTCCGCGATGCCAGACCCGGTCCATTCTCTTGCGCTGTGACGAAAGAACACGACTTGAGAATATTCGGCCTAAAGCCTTATTCTATACGTTAAACCCTAAATTTTCTAGGTCGTGATGGAGGAGCGATGGTGGAAGCGCGTGGCGCTGCGAGGCGATCGCGTTGCTCTTGTGCCCTATCAGCGCGATCACGTCCCCAGGTATCACTCCTGGATGCAAAATCCCGAGCTTCTGGAGCTCACTTGCTCCGAGCCGCTGTCTCTCGAGGAAGAATACGAAATGCAGGGCTCTTGGGCATCGGATCCAAAGAGTTTGTGGATCGATTTTTGCCCCTCTCTTCTCACATTTTTCCTTGGGATCCAGAATGTACGTTCATAGTTTTGGACAGAGAGCTCATCACTGGCGATTTGGCTCCATCTCTTCCTTTTGTAAATGGTTTGTAGTTCATTTTTTTCCCGTGTTATGAATCATTCGTTTCTTTTGTTCTTCAATTTCCAGCGATGATTGGAGACGTGAATCTCTACATGAACGACGTTGAGAATTCTAGTGTAGCAGAGATTGAGATCATGATCGCCGAGCATGGAAGGTAAGGACTAGAACAAAATCTCGAAACTCACGAGCTGGCCATCATTTTTGTAGCCGCAGGAAAGGATTTGGAAGAGAAGCAGTCCAGATTATGATGGCCTTCGCTAGCAAAAATCTAAACATTCAAATATTTCGTGCAAAGATAGGAGACGAAAACGTGCGATCTATCGATCTTTTCAAAACCCTGGTACGCTTATTGTAAGTTTCTTAGATTATGAACTTTCGCTCCAGGGATTCAAGAATGTGAGCCACAGCAAGCCGTTTAAGCAGGTTTTCCTTTTCTCTTTTAATTTCTTAACTTGCGATGGATGCCGACAATTTCTTTGTTGTAGGTGACAATGGAATTTACTCCGACCTCGAATACACTTCCGCGAGATGTAGAAGTGGTTCATTAGCTTCTTGCAGCACCCTGTATTTCTAAAAGCCAACGAAGCGTAGGTAAGTAAAGCCGTAGGAGAGTTTTTCCAATCCTTGTGCTCCTTTCACATTTATGTACCTTGCAGCAACGTGTACATCTGTGCTGGCAGAAAAGCGATCTTTGTCCGGTAAAATTCATTTATTTTGCTCTTTGCTTGCCAGTTGTTCCTTTTTCGTTAACCTGTTTGCTTTAGTTATTAGCTGATTGATAATCGTTGGTATGCATCTTGTTTGGTCGATCGGTAGCTCGAGTTTGATTTGATGGATGAGTTTGAGTGCTCGCTCACATGAAAGTTCTTATTTTATTGCAGCCCAGCTTCTCCGAAGAACTCACAGAAAAGTAGCAGCTCAGGTCGTTCTCTTCTCGCTGGATGCATTTAATTCCATCCTTGTAACGCAAAAGTTGCCTCTCAAAAAAGGTCAGTGGTGGTCATTCATTTCACGGATCTTATGGTTTATTTTTTCACCCCTCCTTCAACCTTTTGGCTTGCCACTTGGTTTAACTGTCGAGTACCAGTCGCATTTTACACTACATCGCGAATTTATTCCCTCCCACATGGGTGGTTTCGTCGTGCTAGCAAAATGCTTGTGCTTTTCTTCTTTGCCTTTTTGGACTCATGCTTGTGTTTTTCTTTAGATTGCTCCGTGTGGGACACGAGGATGCTCCATTATCTCTCAGCTACCAGTACAATACTTTGATTCTCCAGTCCACCGTCTTTGATTCACCAAACAAGACAGGATGAGCCCTCCACTCCACTGATCCGAAACAAGAGATGTTGGGATCGCTGTTTGACTTCGTGTGTATTTTAAGTCGGGTATGGTTTTATCGCCTTAGAATCTCTCCTTCTTTCTTGACTAACTTGTTGCTGTGGCAGGCTCTCTCAGTGGAGACTGCTGGACAACCGGCCTGATCGTGTTCTGGAGCGCCGAGTTCTTACGAGTAAGGTGATTGGATGACAAAAATCTTGCCCGCCGCTTAGCCATGATGCCTTGCAGCCATGGCTGAACGCTCTCACTGTACTTGATGGCGAGGAAGAACAAGAACCTGTAGACTATAATCATCAAAAACACCACTGCGAGGTTCCACCATTTCGAGCGGCCGACTGGTATCTCATAAACGTCCTGAAGAATAAATTTTCCTGGAATCTTTGGTAAGCCTGGAAATTTGTTTTCAAAGTTCAAGCCGAGAAAGTCGTTTTCAAAGTTTCCCTGCCAGGCACATTAAAATTCTCGTTCAGCTTTCGGGGGAGCAGAGAGAAGCATGAAAGGCTACCTGCAACGAATACATGTGGAAACCAATGTAGGACAGCGGGAACTTCCAGAACGCCTTTGGCAAGTCACCTGGCAAACGGAAAAATCCCGCAACGAGCAGAAAGATACCCTGTCATCAAGAAGTCAGAGCAAGCGAAAGTATGTCACCAGGCCAGATGTTGCAAGCCGAGCGTACCTGGATGCCGGCACCCGTAATGATCCCCATGAGGAAGTTTGGGACGAGACTTGCCACAGCCATCATCAGACTCTCGACAGCTGCGACAGCCGCGAAAAGGTTCAACACAAAGTACGAGAAGCGAATGAATCCCGGGTGGAGCTTCACCATGTTGTATGTGATAGCCCCGGACACCAGTGCTATGAGAAAGAGAAACGGTAGCGACGAGAGGGTGTTTCCAACGACGAACGCGACGACGCCGTAGTGTCCATTCAGCCTCTCACGAGAGAAGACCTGAGACATAACCAAGCATATATCACCGTGGACGATCGGAAACTAGAACATGAAAGAGAAGAACAGACCTTCATGTCTTCGATGAACGACGGGAAGCCTCCAATGGACATGAAGATCAGGAAGCCTCCAACAAAAGACATACAAGCAGCTCTGGCCTTCAACAAAACAGTCTTGGAGTTAAGCACAGGGACGAGATGATGGAAGTGGAGGGGCTGTTACCATGATAGAGCTATAGCTGGTGCCGATGTCATAGTACAGCGTACCGATCCCGATGGCCAGGATGATGTAGATGACAAGTCGAAGCCAGTAGTAGCCCATATCTCGAGACATGTTGACGAACGATCGGCGGGTTAGCGTGAACGACTGCATGAAGAAGCTCGCTTGGCTCCCTTCCGACTCCAAAGCTACTCCTTTCTGGCCGGCGCACTTGTTTCAGCTAAGGTGGAGGAGGAAGATGGAAAGTCTGCTCACCGTTTGGTTAATCTCGTGGATTTTGGACGCTGTCAGCATTGCGTGCTCTGAAGACTGGTAGTGGTCGATCAAGATCTTGATGACTTGTGCGGTGGAGGTTTTGTCAAGGACATCGGCCGACTCCATGTCCTGCGAAGTAGCAGCATCAACGCGGTCGAAAAGATGGATTTTTATGGTCACAGCTAACTTACCTTGGCCACAAAGGAATTTCTCAGAGCGTCCTTGACTCGATCAAAGTCTGAGTTGATTGCTCTGAGGTAATGGTCAGAGGGGTTTCGAAGAGGTGGACAGGGGAATCCAGCGGAGGCGAAGAACTATCAGGACGGAAACTTCGGACTTAGAGAACCAAGGGAAGAAGAACTTACTGCGTTACCTCTTTAGCAGCAGGGGCATCACCAAAGTAGATGGTTTTCCCGTGAGATAACAAGTACAGTCGGTCGAAGAGCTCGAAAACCTCGCTGCTGGGCTGATGGATGGAAGCTATGACAGTCCTTCCGTCTCTGGCCAGGTTCTTGAGTGTCTGGGTGACGAAGAAGGCCGAGGCACTGCATCCAAGATGGAACAGGAATGTTTAGCAGGCTAAGAACTTGCAACCAACCTGTCGAGGCCGCTGGTGGGTTCATCGAGGAACAGCAAACGAGGACGAGTGAGAATTTCCAGACCGATGCTCAGCCGCCGCTTCTCTCCTCCACTGAGGCCTCGAAGGTGCCAGTTTCCAACGGGAGTGTTCTGGCACTCTTGGAGTCCCATCTCCATGATAGTGCTCTCGACAATGGCCTTCTTATCTTTCCGGGGCATGAGATCTGGGAGACGCAATTTAGCCGAGTACGTGATGGTTTCCTTCACCGTCAGAGTTCCTATCAGCGCATCATCTTGAGTCACGAATGCCTGGGACAGGGAGAAACATATCTTAAGTCGTGGTGATCGAGAAGATGGGGAATTTTCTTAAAATATAGGAGTGAGAAACCGGGAACTCACAACGATGCCGTATGACAAGCGAGTCCGCCTTCCATTGAGCAGGACTTCTCCACTCTGCGTCGTGTTCTTGGCCAGCCTCCCTGCGACAGATCGGCCTCGATCAAGAGATCAAAAAGACGAAGCTTGCAAACCTGCTAGAGCGTCCAGTAACGTCGACTTTCCGGATCCAGACGGCCCCATGACGGCCATGAGATATCCCGGCTCGGCGTATCCATTGAGACCGTGGAGCAGCGAGCGCGTCTCTCCCTTAGCATTGGTGGCCGAGACGAAGAGATCTCTCCAAGTAAGCCGCGCAGATATGTCGGTCTCCTCGTCCCCGGTCTTGTTCTTCCACAGGCTCAAGCTGAGGGGGCTCAGCATTCCCATGGTGTTGGTTTGAGCAGCGCTTCTCTCCATCCGAGCGTGGCTTCCATGAGGTACGCTGTTGCTGTTGCTATTGCTTCTACTCATCGCTGCCATCTTACTCGCTCGGCTGACTGACTTTAAATGCAAATGTGCCGCATACCAGGTGTTGTGGAGGACCGCAGCACGGTGGTGGTGGAGGCATTCAAGCTCTGGGCATGAAAGGAATCGAAGAGGATGAAGAAGGAGGAGAGAGCTTGATCGGTGGAGAGGGAGAGAAAACGAGCAACGCAGCTGTGACAAGGAGACTCTGAAACGAGTTTAAAGACGAGAGACCAGTGGAGAAAAAGCTTGGCGATGGAGAGTGAGTAACAACTGGGCGTGACGGCGTAGCACAAGCAGACGATGACTGAATTAAAGGCAACGAGACAAAGTGGACGGCTTCGCAGCGCAGCAATCGCCCTTGTAAACAAACCAAGGAGAAAGAAAGAAGGCACGGAGAAGAAAGAAGGAAAGAAGAAAAGGAGGAAGTTTGGTGTGAAAAATAACTGATTTTTGCCGAGGTCAGGGAATGAAAAGCTTTGTTTCTTTGGCGACCCACCGCCATTAAATGCATAGAAACATTTGCAATGCATCGCATTGCTCTGTAAAAAAACTAAACTTTTGCTCACCACTTTCTCTACACTTGGTTGGAAATGGTGCCAACGCTTGCAAAAGATTGGTTTTTGAGCTCGCAAAGATCGGTTCTTGAGCTCGCAAAGACTGGTTTTGAGCTCGCAAAGATTGGTTTTCATCGCTTTGCAAGACGAATGAGAGCTCCAGAGGTTGTCTCCACAGATACCAGGACGCTGGAACCCAGTAAATCTCTCAAGTGAAACCGCATTCCCAGGCTTGAGCTTCGCAGCTTCCGCTTCTCCAGGACTGATAGCAAGGCCTCTTTGGACTGCCGCTTGCGCAGCAATTGAGTCACCTCTTTCCTTCCCTGGGAAAACACAAAGATTGTTAAGAGAAGAACCAAAAAGAAGTTTTCAAAACGTTATAGAGACTATACCTGTGTCAAGTTCTTCATCGCCCATCCAATTCCAGGTATGGAAAACCAATAGTCTTCTGAATCGGACATTTGTCTCACCTGTTTTGAATGACACCAAACTTTTCATCGAGAAAAAAACAGATTGTAAAGAGCACGCACCAGAAATCCGGCATTGATGAGCACGGAGATTTGCTTATCAGTTGTTTTCCCACCTCGCGAGAGGAGAGAAACCTGAGATAAACTAGCTGTGAAAACGAGAATGAGAAAACAAATGTTTCATACCAGGTGGGAGTTTGAGATTGACAAATCCGGGCTCGATCCAAGAACGTAGTTTTGAAACCAGTCGAAAACGATGGTTGTATCAGCTGAATGCTTACTTTCCATTCTCTGCTTAGCAGCATCGATCTGTGCAAGAAGAAGAAACAGAAAAGAACTTGAGAACTAGCCACCCATTCCATGCAGAGATGAGAGAAGTGATTACCT